GTAGCTCATTTTACGTTAAAAGTCCATTCAACACAATTGAGATGGAGAAATTGTTAAAAAGATTGTTTTCTATAGAAGTTTTTTTTCTTGATTACAAAACTATATTCAAATGAAATAAATTATAAATTTACCCTTAGCACCAAATAAATAAATAAATCATATATATATATATATATATTAACCTTGCTAACTGAATGATGGTAACAGAAAGATGCTAAAGTAACATTTAAAGATGGTGAAAGAAACATGCCAGAGTAACACTGATAGCGAAATAATGTAACTGAATGATGGGAACTGAATGATGGTAAAGTAACACTGATAACGGAATAATGGTAACTGGAAGATGGTAACTGAACGAAGGTAATTGTACGATGGTAACTGAAAAAAGTTAAAGTAACACTGGTAATTAAAAGTTGGTATAGGATTCATCTTCTTATCTGGGTTGATTGAAGGAAAAAAAACATTGACGTCTGGACCCAGCGCATCTTTTACTGGTTATGGGAAAGAATAAATTAAATACAATATTGGTCCAGAGAGTATCCACCTCAGAATTGTGTCAACTACTTCTGGAAGCGCATACGTTTTTACGACATGGGTTCATTTTTTTCTTAAATACTAATGTATGTACAAATTATGATGCAGAAAGAAATGTTTTTGTTGTCTTGTTGACTTGTTAAGCATTAATTATATGATCAAAATAAACTTAATTTCGATCACATGAAACCAAATTTGCACATTCGGAAAGTTGAGGTAGATGTATTTCAACATTCTTTACAACTCAACCCCATTGCGCATTTGATGTTAGATGAACATCTGTAATTTTTTAACACCAATGCCACAAACACATTTCAGGATCTGTTGTCATCGTTTGTATCGATTTACTCCGAGACGTCTTTGAAAATACTGAAGGAACCAGTAAATCAGGCTTTCATGCGTGGACCCTTCTTGATGAGTTTACAAAATTAGCAGAGGGTTTTGCAATACGTCATCAGGTAAAGTAGACATGACACTTTCTTCATTTTCTTCTTAGCCTTTCACTCTTCCAATGGAGTATATGCCATCCACAATACGTTTCGATCTCTGTTCTTGGCGGTTATCTTTGCTCCATTTCGGCCTATGAAGCATTTGCCATTCACAATACTTTTCCATCTGTCCCTGTCCTGGGCTATCTTAGATAGCTCGGCCCAACGTATCTTCATCAACGTCACCTTTGTCTCTAATCCCCTCTTCCATGTGGCTCATTGTCTTCCTCTTTTACTTGTAACTTGAAGATTCTAATTCAGGGCTTGTCTTGAGATGCATACACACTACTTCAGTTTAGTTAAATTTATATGAGTTGTTTCCGTTTTTTATAATACTTTAATTAGATTTCTCTTGCTCTATGGCGTGAGTGGCCTTCACACTGGCTCAACTCAAAAACAATAAAACTCTTTAAATATTTATTAAGTTTAATCTTATTTTTTAAAAATTGTTTCCATGTTAATGTACATTTTACTGAGTTGTTTCCAATTCAGTTGAAGTGTAAAGAGATCTTAGAAATCGTGAACCGGGCCAGGTGTAACACTGATGACCTTAATGAAAAACTGGCCTGTAAAAAGTTTTTGAATAAAATTGGATACTTTGGCAAAGATTTTGAAACGTCTTCTGAGGGAAGCACGCAAATAGCAGGTTCGAAAGGCTTCAGTAAAATTTTTAGTTAAAACTATATATATTTTTTGGATTAAAAAGGTTAAGAGAGAAACAGTTACAGACAATATATGGTAATCGGTGTGGTAACAAACAGGTGTTTATTCATTAAATGTTCGATCGTATGTAAGTACATTTTTATGAGGACGGCTTGTAAAATTGCTTATGTATCTCTCTATCTATAATATATGTATCTGTTTCTCTTTGAGGGATAGTTCTTAAAATTCGTAACTATTTCCTTATTAAAAAATTTGTCAAACATTAAAAATATTTTTTAAAGTAAAAAAAAAAATTGATCTTCTAAAATATCTTACTTAAATAAAAATTACAGCGATTAAACCCATGATGAAAGCGTCTTTGGAAAGTAAGGCTGAATATAAAAATGTGTCAACTTCAACTACTGTAAGTTACCAGTTATAAATTTAAAATGCAATTCATAAAAGCTCTTTAAGCAGATATAGTTAATTTTATAGATTTCAGAATATTGGAAAAAAATGTCATCCATTTTAATTCATCATTTAACATTTACTCTGAAAACACATTTTCAACAACTTTAATGAAGAATAAGAGGCACACATTAAGACCTATCAAGTATTTTTAGAGCATTGTTGTACCAGTCAAATTTCTTTTCTGTCTTTCTATCTATCTGTCTATCTGTCTATCTATCTATCTATCTATCTATCTATCTATCTATCTATCTATCTATCTATCTATCTATCTATCTATCTATCTATCTATCTATCTATCTATCTATCTATCTATCTATCTATC